ATTAAACGATACACTTTAACCATTTTCTGCTGTCCGATACGGTGACACCGTGCTTGAGCTTGCAAGTCATTTTGAGGATTCCAATCCGAATCATAAATAATGACAACGTCAGCTGCGGTTAGATTGATTCCCAAGCCGCCAGCTTTGGTACATAATAAGAAGACAAACTTGTCTGGATCTGTATTCAAGGGCAGGAAGAAAGAAACGCGTGTCGTGCCATGAGTTTAAAACAATTGGAAACACCCATCTATTTATGTGATCTAAATCCGCTACAAATATAGGAGCAGTTGTCTGATCATTAAAAAAGGAATTTCCCTGCAATTCGAAAACAACCACCTAAAGTACATCAGCTAGATTACATTTTTCGTGATGGAAGAGCCAATGCAAATCGTAAATGTGTAAGTGTCTGTGAGGAGAAAGCAAACATTTACAAATTAATAACGTTGAGTTTCTCGTGGGAAAGGGAATCACCGATATTGCTCACCACATTAGTATCACTGAGAACTAATACAGCAATGCAGGTTCAACAAATTTTGAATCAAGTAGATCAGTAAGGCAAGAAACATTCTGCAAGCGTGAACCTAGCAAATCGGACTGAACTAAACAGAGGCATAATCATGTCATCTCAACAGAAAGTATTGGGTATTATTAGTCAAACAAGATTTCATAACCGAATTAGACGAAAATAGCGAAATCTCAGTGAGCGTAAAACTGGTATGCATGGTATTGTCAAGTTTGCAATGTGAACTAGCTACTACATTAATATAATGCATCATACCTGCTGTGAAACGATCGATTGCTTCTTGCCTCAGGGGACCATGTATGCGACCATCTATGCGTTCAAACGGAAACCTAAAAGACAGGGCAAATCAGAAAGTTACCAAATACCCGTGACAAAACTTTTACATTAACTCCATTGCTATCCTTATCTATAGTGTAACTGAACATCGCCAGTTTACTTCCCGCAGCGATCACCTTGGTACTCGAAGTCGGTCACAGTAATCTGTTTGGGAAAAACTGGCTTTTAAATTCCTGATGAGGCACACTCGCCGGTTGTGAAGCTCAGATATTAGCGAGACACCTTATTCAAAGAACTGATACTCGTTTCAGCATTCACCGAGTAAAATGGGGCTCATGTGAAGCAAAATGAAACATGCAATCGATAAACCTATCTGATAAGGTACTAGATAAGCTTGCTCAAGCAAATTCCGTTGATTATTTAGTTATGAAAGCGATGCGGATCGTTTTGTACCGAGTGACCAATAAAAATGAAGTTTTATAACGGTCGACATTCTTGAAATGCTTAAACAACTCGAAAAGCGTATGCTCTATAATATGCCTTACCGTTGGTGAATCAGATAGTCCTCAAGAATATCTAGTACACGGATCATTTGTGAGAATATGAGAACCTTGTGTCCATCTGCACGTAATTTCGGAAGCAACTTGTGAATTAACACGAGCTTTCCTGAGGCATACACAAGGGCTTGGAAAGTCTGCGACTCCTCTGACAGTGGTTCATCAGAAGACTGCAATGAAAACAAGAAAGAAAATATATCTGCAATAAACCCTGAAGAAAGATTTACCTCCTTAAAATTTATTGTAATTCATGGGAATTCATCAAGTAGACTCTCAGATGAGTAACCAAAGATGTTTCAATGTATCCTGTATGAGTAATGGTCAAAACATGAGTATAAGGAGGGTGACAGGAGTAGCACTTCTGAGTTTGTAAATTGTCGTGTTCCTTGGTATATTCAACCTCTCTGGTTCTCATCACTTGCCCAGCTTTCATCCATGGCTTCCAGAAGCTGAGGCATACATTAGCGGTCACACCTAGGCAATTTGGCGTACGGCATATGAGGGCAGCTACTCCTTAAAAAGGAGATCTACTGCCTGATCCAATAGTCATAAAAAATCTCAACAATAACGTTCCCATCAATCACTGAATTGTCCAATAGAGCAGGTGGTCGAACTCCATAGATTACATTGGTTCGGTGCGCGTTACGCGTGTCGCAAATAGGTTGCCACGACGCGCAATGTTTACCGACGTGAGGGTATGAAAACCTCAACCAGGAGACTCGGTCATATAGGTAGCGTTAGGATCGCTGGACGGGGACCTTGGGATCATTGTAATCGATAGTTAGGTACATTAGATGACATGGATGAAGTATCGCAGACAGTGGCACTCATGCATCTTCTCAAATGCTTTGCGACCTTAGTCTATTGATATTCTCCATTTTCTTTTCGACTCCACTTTCAACTTTTCTATATTTCTCCTTCTGCTCGATCCAACTGGGTAACCAAAAGACAGCAACCAAAACTGATAAACGAAAACGCATGGCCAATAATTGTACAAACTGAAAAACTGAAACTGGATTGCACCCAGGTCATTCGAGTGGAGCTGTTTTCAAGTCTTTTAGGGAACCAGTGACATCTAGTAAGTTCAAACGAAGGCACGTGCACAACGTTTTCGCACAGTGGGCTTCTATTATCCTAACTTTAGTTTTTCACATGGAAGAGTCGTGAATTATGGGAACCCACTGAAAAACTTCTTTTGAATTCTAGGCGTCAAGAAGTAAACATTAACACCCTCTCTTCCTGGCTGACAGTGCTAACTGGGGAAAGCAGTCAGTGAAAGCTTTGAGGACGATTACTTATGCGGTACGTCATGACATGGATGGGGAATGAGTTTGGCCAGATGATCAGACATTACAGGAAGATGTGTGCAATCAAGAGGACAGAGATTTGGAACGGGAATCTGACTCACATTTTGTTCTCGCATATCAGCGAGGATGGCGTCCTCGGCACCTTTTATCAGGAACGGATGATTGCAACATTTGCGCAACTCCATCATAACGTTCATCAAATTGGGGGCGTTTGTAGAGCTTGATCCTTTGCAAAGAAATGCAAAGTTCCGTTCCATAATTGCACGATAGTATTTCTTTTGGATGTTCGTCAATTCAACCTTGAATTCCAAAACAAAGACCGAATGCGCATTGGGTGAAAGTGTATTACCTCGAATAATTCAAGTTATGAAATATGATAAACAAAGGCAAAGAACAGTATCACTGTGCGCAACACTACCCACCTCTACAATTGTTTCTTCTTTCGGAGCCAAACTTTTCTCCACATCTTCCTTCAAACGGCGTAGCATCATGGGTTTTAGTAATGCCTTTAGACTCTCTACTTGTTCCTCAGTTTTAAGGTCTCCATATTCAGCGACAAAAGTCGAAGAACAATTGAACCGATCTGGCTCGAGGAAGTTCAAAAGACCAAACAATTCTTCAACATTGTTTTGAAGAGGAGTACCAGTGAGGAGCACCCGATGATCCTGCATTAAGAAAGAAGTCGGAAGTTACGTCATGAGACAATGAGTTGGTGAATTCTACAAAGCGAATAAATTAACAAAGCGATCCGGCAAGACACAAGTCATTCGCAGTTCGACTACTTACAAGATCCAAATAACGAAGACCTTCGCCCAGTTTGCACTTCTTGTTCTTCAGTCGATGAGCCTCATCGATCACAGCTGCTGCCCAGTGGATCTTCCCGAAAAACTCAATATCAGTCATGAGAACTTCGAACGTAGTGACAAGTGCGTTGAACTTGTAAACATCATGTCGGACCGCTGAATCTGATGGGCGGCGTTTATAGAAGATTTCATATTCCTGAATCATGTTACGACTGGTACTACTTCCGTGATAGATGACAACATTGAAATCGGACCAGTTCTCGAATTCCCGCTGCCAATTAGTCACAGTGGATAACGGTACGATCACTAGAAACGGACCATGAATTCCAGCTTTGGCCAATTCCAACAGAAAAGTGACCGATTGGACGGTTTTCCCTAGGCCCATTTCATCAGCCAAGATACAATTACGGTGATGAAACCAGCAATAGGTGAGCCAATTTACACCTTCCAACTGGTAATCCCTGAGTTTGTTACTGTTTTTGTACACTTGATCTGATTCGATGGGTATCCACGTGGAAGGATCGGGTCGAATGATCTGATAAGAAACAATAACAAAAATTGGCGGATTACCATGTGATAATGATAATGATAGTAATAATAATAAAAGATCTGAACCGCATTCACTAGAGGAGGTCACAAGGGTATATATGAATAAGCTCCGAAATGAAACAAGTCAGAAGATAGGAAGAATGGTATAAGATTACCTAGGGCGAAAAAAAGTTAGATGTACAATTATTTCCGATCACTACCTCTAAGTAAAAACAAGAGCCAATAGACAAGTTAATAGTCTATTCCAATTTGAAATATAAACGAGCCAGAGAGCACGAAAAACAGTTTATTAGTGTCAGGTTGCTAGAAACAAAACACAATTCCGTGCATGTTGCGCGTGACAAACAACTCACCTTATAATTACTATCACGAGGCACCGGAGTGAGCTTCGGAGGGTTCTGCCATTTTAGGAACTCCTTTACTTTGGCAGGATCAACATCCTGTGCCAACTCCCAAGTAGCATCTTCGTAAGCGAGTGAACGCCACTTCACCAAATAATAAGTGACATTGACCGGAGAAGACGCACGTTCACCCTGTTCGGAATAATTATCAGACTCGTTCGTGCGTGACCCTGAGGGAGACCGGTTGCGGGAAACATCCTTAATGGGATCACGCGGTTCTGTCGGAGTATTTGATTCTGTTTCCTGTGTACCGGGGGATGCAGAGGTGTTCTCTTCAACGGGTTCAGGCGCTTTTTGTGTAGAGGTGTTGCTGCCATGTGAATCAGAACTCTCGACTCTCTCGGGAGATTCGGACCGCCGAATATTACCGCCTGTTTCGGTCTCTGCAGCAGGTGACGCAGCCACGTCTGAGGCAGTATTTTCACAAGTTTTATCTTGAGTACATAATTCATCCTGACTGCATGCGGAGGAAGAACTCGCCACGGACGGTGCATTGAATGAAGCAAATGCAGCCTCGGCTTTAGCACGAGCCTTAGCTTTCGCCTCGCGTAGCGCTCGTGCGCGCTTACGTTCCCGCTCTCGTTTTGTCTCTCGTTTCAACCTGGTTTGGTCGGTGCTTCCATCGCGCTTTGGTCCGTCGACTGTCACCAGAATTCCATTGCGATACACTTTCATATCCAGCACACGCTCTACTTCGACATAATCAGGGTTGAATAGAACGACATCATCCTCCTGTTGATGAAATAGTGAGAGATGGTGTCAATGATGCGAATCAAACTAGATATGCGTGGAGTAGAAAAGAAAGAATAGATTCAGAACAGAGGGGTTTTAGGGAGTCTAGTTTTTTGTCAGAGGTACGCGAGGATCTAGGCGGCGGTTACGGAAACAAATCCATCACGGAAATATCTCTAAATTCCCCACACACAAAATAAGGAGCAGAATAAGCAATCTTATTACAGGCGCATAGACACGCCCCTATTCAAACTAAACTACAATCGGCAAGGAGTCATTATTTACCTGAGTGGATGGCTAACACCTTCCCTTCTCAAAGCCCGTCAACAATCCATGTCCCATTGCAGTCCTACTCATTACTTTATATGAAATAAATAAAGGGACTTCAAAATTAATACTATCATCATTTCTTAGGAAGGTGTTATTGGTTGTTAACTGAAATCCACAACAAGTCTACGTACAAACCTACGCATTATCATGACCGTGTTGTGAGCATGGAAATGCGAGGGATAGGATTTATACACTTAAATGCTCACTTTAGAGCTTTTTAATTCTAATAATTTCCTGCGGAGCGATTTTGAAGAAACAGTTCTAGGTATAGTTAATAGAGAATAAGTGAATTCTAACAAGTTCCACGGGATTACTCACCTCACCCTGAAGGGTGCTTGCTTGCTTCATTTCGAATCGTCTTAGTTTGGGTCGAATTCGCGGGTCATCGATTTCATCCAGTGCACGCCACTCGCAATGTAGGTAAGAACTGGAAAATATTTGGACGGGGAAATGCGAATTCCGTGTGTTCTCAGGTCAATCAGTAAATAAACCTGACGATATTACTTGATAAAAGGCAATAAATGTATTGAGAATATTGTTTGTATTCCTACGCGCAAATTCCATGAACATTTTACATTGGGGGGAAAATTAACCAAGCAACCCTTGGATTGAGGCACATCGCACCATTTAGGATCGAGATGAAATGACTAGCGTGTGGCAGGGGTTAGGTCGTTTAAACCAGTCACTGATATAATGGGAATTCCAAGTGCCGAGCTTAGAACCTTGTTACCACCATTCAACTTTGGCTCTACGCAGCGTCAACGTTGCCCAGTTTTATCCTGTCTTCTATTCATATCCCATGACTAGGGTCGTCGGTTCACAACTGTACACTTGACTGTTCACCATACAGTGGAGTGCGTAATAAGAAACTACTTCGAATACGCGAATTCGATGACTTGATTTCACACTAATCGAGTTTTACTGAGGTTTAACCCACTTTGCCTGTATGCGTCCGTTTCTATTCATACTTGTGTTTACGGTTTCTATTAATATTTTTTGCAAAAAGAAAACTTATTTCCGACATCCCGAGATGAGTATTGTTACCAACTTAGAAAATGTATGACTTGATGAATTTGGTAAATAGAGCATAAACGAATAAATGAACATTACGGTTGAAACGGGAATTACAAACCAGAAGGAGTTAGTATTGGGTCAAGTGAAGCTAGGTCATCTGAGCCCCAAGCTAACATATATTTACGAAATCCTGATAAGAGAAACCATTGTGGTTAACAATGTAGTAACCAGGGCATCTAGTAAAAAAATTAGACTTTTATCATTTTGAAGTGCCCAGAGACAACGGTTTAGACATGACAACTTACTATCCTTTATATTTCAAGTAAAATTCTTCAACATCCTCTTCCTCTTCCTCTTCGTCCTCCACTACTTTTTCGGCGGACGTCCCATCCTCGGAGTTGGGCTGTGCATCAGAATTGGTTACCGTGCGTTGGATGATTTTCTTTACCACACGTTTTGTAACCCGACGACCAAGCACAGATTCGACTACTTTGAATTCATTTTCATCCGTCACAGCCTGCAGATAGTGAAATTAAAAAACAGTGACTTAGATTGATCGACGAGTGAAAGTGGAAAGATTTTACAGTGAACACTGAAGTAGGAAGTATAATAATGACATAAGGTTAGTCGGGAACCAGCCCTATTCGCTACAGGTGTTTCACCGGATAGTAACACTGCAATTATCGGAGGAAGTTGCAGTGCCAATTCCAATGATCACCATCGACTTCCGAACCGAGGACACAGCAAACTTATCACCGTATTAGGACGAAAATTCAACTGGGGTTTTCTTACGACAAAAAAAATCGGAGAAATCACGGATTGGATAGCTGGAGATGGATGGTTACCAGATTCCGCTACTTGCTTTGTTCGTCGCTCGTTAATAAACACTAAGAGCGGTGACAAATTCAGCCTACCGATCTGTTTTTTTATCGTATTTGATTTGGGATAGAGAAAATAATTATGAAGCCTCCATAGTCGAATTTAATCCCCTCAGTTATCCCACCTGGATTGACTGTGTACAATAAAAACACAAATCACCTAATGAACCAGAGGAAGGTGGTGGTGGCGCAGTGGTTTAGCTGATGTCAACAACGTGCTTTAAGCCCTATATTCCGAGGTTCGAACTTCGCCACCGCCACCAAACTTTGGTGGTAAGCAGCTTTGTTGTCGTTAATACTAAGCCTAACCTAGTGGGGCCTTACGTGGTTTGCCAATCCAAGTCCGGGGGCTTGGGCTACCGATTTCCATGACTGAGATGCAGGTCTTCGCGACTGTGGTGTTCATATCGTCCGCTGTTATCCCACACGTGTGTTAAAACAAAAAAGCAATTGATTTTTAAGGCACTATTGCCTTACAGGACAAGGCGAATGAAACCTTAACCTACGACCGATTTTTTTGCAATGACAGAAGGGTGATCGCAGAGAATTTAAATGTAAGCGCACTCTTAAGATCGCTTAATAATTTTCATTTTCTGATTTACTGCATTACAATATCGTGCAATAGAGATAAACATACATTCAATCGTGAGGCAGCCACTCGCAGATCAACCATACTCCCTTATGGCCAGTACATAAATTCAAACAATTCCTACTTGTTACAACAATACTACTCATCAGTCCTAGCGGTCGACCTACACGCATTTCTGTCTGGCCACGTCTTCATTAGCATAGAACATACTATCGTTGTTGTTGACTGAGTTGAGCAGCTTGCTTGTTAATGCTTCGGCCCTGCTGCAGGTGACATTTTCAGTGCCCAAGACATGATAATACCACGAACACTATATGGTGTAGGAGTCGTTCTAGAAAGACCCCCTCTTGATTGAATTGTAAACAAACCAGAAATCTATGCAACTCTTGGTCTATTTTTTGATAACGAGTAAGCTGATGGAACTACAGTTCAAGACACTACCTTCGAAGAACAAACAACTATGACGTGATGCATAAATCAAAACTAATTCCGTCAGTAAACTCAAAAATTGTTTTATTTTTAATGGCATTCTGTCTGAAAGAAGAATTGCTACAGTGTGTCAGTGCGAATTGATGACGGTTGATAACGAGGGATGAGATATCACTCACAGCATTGCCTGTAGAATTCAAGGCAGCCAGCTCATCATCGTTGGCCGCATCTGAGTCATCCGACAGGTTCAGATCAAGGTCCACGGTATACCGTTTCCGATCACCTGCCGTGCGCTCAGAACGACGCTTCTGGAAACAGAAATTCAACGAAATGTAGAAATACGAAAGGTTTGTGCTCAAATCTCGGATGAACCTGGTAAACCTGATTCAAGCGATCCTTATGGACGAATAATTTTTCACTGAAGTATAGATACAGGGCAGAAAGTAAAAGTACTCTCGTTCGTAGGTAAGAAGTGCATTGGTTTAATGCGCTGGTGTTCGTGTTTCATCATGATAATCAGAGTAAAAAATCGGTGGGATGAAACCATTCAGTTTGAGACCAAATAAGCATTGATTCATTTTTCGGGGTCACTTTGCTATACAGCAACAAACTACATAGTACACATTGTATCAATGAACGGTGGCTTGTTCAGTCCTCTAGTAATGATGAAATCTCATTACTTTATTTAGTTAACATAATGAGGTTAACAAAACATTATAAGTTATCAAATAGCTCAGTCGGTTTAAGGCTTTGAAATCACTCAATTTTACAACTAACACGAAAAAGTAGAGGACATAAGGCCAAACCAATTCGAAATTTCTTCGATCGGAAAACATCTGACAAAGCTAGCTCTGAAGAAAAGAGAATACATACACTTTCAATTTGGGGGGAATTCATGCTGCCACGGTTTTCAGCAGAGCGACCGCCAAGGCGTCCAGATATGTCCGGCTCCGATTCAGAATCGTCCCCATAGAACGCAGAGCGCTTCTTCTTTCGTATGAGAGTGGGTAGGGGTCTGTGTGAAGGTCAGATGCAGACATGGATTTAGGAGTACGCCACCGTATAGAGAAATAAAAGATGCAGATACTGGTCATATCGCTAAGTTGAATACCGATCACCGAGTAAACCATTCAAGTTTAACTGAATGACTTTAGTTAAATAGCCTTATTATTAACACGATCCCGAGAGGCCCGTGCTG